TGAGCATTGTTAGCACTGGATGCCTGAGAACCACATGCAGCATCACTTTCACTTTGTTAAAAGCACTTGTTTCCCTCGTGCAGAAAGCTCCGAACTGACAGTCCTAATAGGGGGTCTAAATAATCCCACATGTATCAAGAATACAACTGTATTTGGTGTAATGCCTTGCACACAGAACTCACTGTATCCCAGAGCTCTGCAAGGCTGGACAATGCAATTTACAGAACTAGGACTGAAAGGGGAAAGGGAAATGAGAGATGCTAAGGGCAACAGAAAGAAAATGTGAGTGTCACAAGCACCCCTATTATAGACTTGGTCTAATTCAGAAGGGGAATGAGAGAGGATCTGCTGGGGAACTAGATAAGAATGAATGGTGTGAAGGGCAGTGGAGAACTTGCTTTCCTCACCTGTATGGAACAGGAAAACAATGTATTCCATATGGATAAAGAAGCAGGTTCCTCTGCAAAAAGTAGAGTGAGCATATGCTGCCAGGTAGTATGCAGTGAGTTTAGTAAGACTGAGTTAGCTGACTGGTGATGCACAAGAGCAGCATTTACAGTTAGAAGAGACTGAATGGTCATTGCTCTTTCCTCCAGTGAAGTTAATGGCAGCACTCCCATGCAGTGGTATAGAATTGAGTCCCAGTGAATCACATGATCAGATGTTAGTTGGAAGGAACTTTAACTCTACATGCAGCACAACTTCTACAGAAATACATTCAAGGAGGCTGGGTCACCTTCACCTGAAACATAGTGGATGGGGTACACTGCCAGACGCAAGACTCAGATCCACACTAAATCAACTGATCTGCTCAGGCAGTTTTTATAATTTCTGTTATTAAAAGTTACAGCTGGTCACATTTTATCACCATAACCCTCCCCTTTTCTTGGCTAAAGAATCATTTTCAAAGTGATCTGGATTTCATTATTCATAAGGATTCATGAAATAAATGTGTGGATGAATCATTTTCAGACTGAAAGTCAAAGTAATTGATATTTTTTTTCCTGTGGTCAGGCACATGCTAAGATGCCTCTTAGTTCTGATAAATGATCCTGATCCTCACTTCAAAATGTCTGTTTCTCTGTCAAATACTTTTGTGACCTCTATTACTAAAGTATCTGAACTTACAGCCAACCAGTTTTATACAAGGTATTGTTAGCAAACCAATGGGGAGGAGTAAATGAGCCCAGATATTGTACTTATTGACTGACTGACTGTTTATCTCCGTACATGATCCATCCATCCCTGTATACATCCTTTATATGTATGTACATTTAACATTTTACATATGCCTTAACATGACACATTTCCTCAGCAGCAACCTGAAAATGTCTTAGCTGAACAATTCTTTCGATGTACAGTATTGATTTAAAAAATATACTAAACTAAGGAGCAAATAAAAAATTGTGACTGCTGAAAAAAAATACAAAAAGTCACGACTGCTGAACACTGCAGCTCCAACCTGGCCTATCACAGGAAGTTCCATTTGTGCTCCAACCCATGGAAGAGTGGCCGTTTTCTCAGAGGTGTGATAGCAATCCAAACTTTCACAAATGGCCAGTGCTCTGACCCCAGGAATGCACCAGGCTGAGTTCACCTCTCGTCTCCCAAACTACTTACCCAGTTCTATTGACAAGCATGATAAAGTCTTTACCTTGAGGTGCAGCCACTGAGTAATGGCCAGAATCATAGGAGGGGCAGGACATCTCACTGTTGTGTCTTCCAGGAACAGCCCGATGAGAGACGAAAGGAAGATCAATACCGAGGGAGGACCAGGCCCTTATGTCCCATTGCTATGACTCCTTACACACAATGCAGCCTTGTTTAGCCTGGCATAGATACCTAGCTTCTCCAATAGGCAGGCATTGTTTATGATGGGTTTGGGCAGCGCCCAGCAAAAAGGGGTCCAATCCTGAGCAGGCTCTCAGCCCTTCTGTAATGTGTCTAATGAATCATTGTCATAGTAAGCCAGACCCCTGGCTCCTGTTCTTCTTGCTATCAGCTGGCCATGGAGCCCAGGCTCCAGGTTGCCATGCTGGAGACTCTTTCCACTGACCACTGACTAGGCCTAGCTCCCTACTCTTTTTCCAGCAGCACTGATCCCATCTATACTCAGTGAATGCTGCAGGGTGTCTGCCACGTACCTCTGCAGAAGTTGTCCATCTGTATCAGACTGAGAGTGTGGGGGTTGGGGTGACACGGTAGTTCCCCCTCTCTGGCTCATGTTACTTCCTGCTAGTATCTCACTTTGGTCAACTGTACTCTGATAAATATGGGACAGCTGCATTTGCGAGCACGAAGTGTCAAAACCTGGGTAGGAGAGCCTGCAACAGGCTGGGGGGAAGGGGTATGGTGGAGGAGGACATCTGAGCGTGGTCTGGGCAGTGATGACTCTGGGGACCTCTGTCCATCAAAAGCCCCAAGGACTTGGGATTAGTTGATCCTATGGCAAGAGTGGGTGAAAGTGGCTCTGTCAGTATTGGGGTGCATTTCTTGGAGGGATGCAGCTGCCTTATTGCCTGATCTATCATGTGCACACCCTATAGGATGTGCATGCAGCACTGCTGTACAGTGCTGAGAGGCTGCCTCCACATTCATCTTGGGGCAGGCATTGGGGTCAGCCTCCACCCACCCTCACAGCGATTCACCTGCTCCTTCGCCTGAGAGTGCCCATTATTCCAAGCAGATGGATCTGGGGCCTTTGTTGTGCCCTGAGCCCTGGCCAGCCAGTACACAGGTTCAGAGATCAATCCTTTCTCTGTCACTGCCTTCTACTATCCTCAGCAGATGCTCTCATGGGTGGAGTAATGGGCAAAGTAAGACAGGGGTGTAAATGTGTATCTCAGCAAGGCTGTCTTCCAACTGAATGGGCCATGGTGGCTCTCAGAGTATGTGACAGCAGGTGCCCAGTTCATGTGAACTCCACAACCCAGCAGCTAAAAAGGAGCATCTTCATAGGCTTTGCCAAAGTGGAGTCTGGGTGGATACCTGCCTTCCCCTTGCCTAGGAGGACCCAAGCAACACATGCTGTGGAAGCAGAGGGAGCTGCAGAGCAGCATCTGCCCTCAAACATAATTCCAGTCAATGCTCTAGCTTGCATCTGGCTACAAGTAATTAGTGTGCAGTCCCAGCTGTGCAGGACAGAGGTTTCAAAGTGGCTGACAGTAGGGAAATGTGGCAGTTACTAAACTACTGAGGCTGCATTTTGGATCCTTTGTTCCTGCAAATCTATTTTTGTCTCCCTCTGATATCGGGCAAGCTTGGGTAAGGCTCATGTGGCCAAGTTGGGCTCCAGCCTCACTCTCCTCCCCCAGAAAACCTGCAGAGCTCACTCATCCATGCCAGTGGGTGGATTTGCATAGCCCAGCAAGCCAGGCCATGTAGTCCAGCCTGCCGCTCTGCTCTGAGCTGGGCTTGCTCTCAATGAGCGCTGACTCATGGAAAGTGATTGCAGCATGCACAAAGATGTTAACTGGACCCACGTGCAGATCCCTGCTCTGTTTGGAGGTTGTCTGCAAGAACGAATGCAAGATCTAATCGTAGAGCTCTGAGCAGACATGAAATTCAGCACACATCAACCATGGGGGTGTGGGGCCAGAGACCCAGCCTGGCTGGGTTCATGCTCCAGGAAAGGGGCTGCAGCAGGCAGTGCCCAGGAAGGAGGGGAGTGGAACGGGTCTGCCCTAGGTCTCAGTTGCTCCATATTTTGCACTCATCATGGGACCAGGGAAGGGGCAGGAGACAAAACCACCTTTGTGCTTCCCATAGTCTTGCCTCAGCTGGGGCTTCTCTGCCCCGTGTAGTTTAGAGCAACTTTGGAGCTGCTTCAACTTATGGCAGGGCTGTTCACAGCCCCTAGAGACCGTGAGAAGCAGGCAAGAGCTGAAATGCAACCCTTTCCTTACCTAGCTGCCAGCTCAGCCTTGCACAGAGACTATTCCCCAGGGGCAGTTTGCTACCCCTGAGCCCCAGGCAGAGCCACAGCACTACAGATAGCTTGGTCAGTGACTAACAATGGAGTAAGACAAGGACAAGGCATGTGGGAAGCAATTCCAGTGTGGAGATGCCAGGGGGGCTTAAGACAGAGAGACACTCAGTGATGTAACACTGAGAACTACTGAATGAAGAGCTCTGGAAGGGGTGTAAGGCAGGCTGTCTTGGAAGGCACATGCCTGGACCTCCTGCAGTTTCTTTTAGCAGGGTTTGTTTCTTCACATGGTACCTGCCCACTGCTCAGTCCTAAGGGTACCCCTGCCTGTTCCCCTAGCTTTATCTCTATGGAGGGAGACACATGCTGGGCGCTATGCCCCAGCTAATTCAGCCCAGTCACACAAGACAGGCTTGCAGATGAACAAGCAGTTTTTACATTCAGGGGTCTGATCTATGTCAAAGTGACCAAGAAATAAGGGGAAGGCAAAGACAGTATCAGTTCTGCTACATTATCCAAGGGCTTCCACAACTGAGATGCAATTGCTTCTCCTCTGCTGTATCGCAGTCCTAAGACCGAGACCCCCAGCACTGAGCTGTGACTCCATCCTCTCTGCTGTTCTGTGGACCCTTAACTGGTATGATGCAACTGCATCATGACTAGCGAACAGAGCACTGGGAATCCCACTGTGTCCCGGCAGAATAATGTTCAAACTATCTCAGTGCTCAGCCTGCAGTCCAGAAACATGTCCTGGCACTAGAGAAGCAATGCATCATTCCTGGCTGGAGGCCACAAGCTCTGACCAACTGGCACAATCATTCAGCAGAAGCAGCTGCCCTTCCTACCCATTAGTCAGCTGTGGCAGATCCCCGTCTTATCTGCTGTAGGAGCTAAGGCAGGTACAAGGCGGCATCCCTTGTCAATCAAGAAGAGAAGATGACCTGCGGGGGACTGAACTCTAGAAGCCATGATCTTTTGGTGGCTAGAGACAGCCAAGGGATTGGGGGGCAGGGGGAGGGTATGAGTTGGGAGAGGGGACGGACTGGTGGGGAAGTAAAGGGGCAATGACTGAGGAAGAGAAAGAGGACCAGCGAAAGGAGGTGTTACAGATAACTGTAGGGGTGACACAGGGGGTGTAAGTCTTTCCAGGAAAGACCTCTTGCCCCCAGGCCCCAGACAGACTCCTGTGCCCCTCTCCTTCCTGCTTGCCATGCGGATGCTGTGTATTGCCAGGCACAGTCCAGCTCAGCCACCCTTGGCACCATCTCCAGCCTGGACTCCTGGCAGCATTTCTGTTTCTTCCAGGTGGCACTGCTTCTCTCGGCTCCAGTGCATTGTTATCCAGGCAGGCAGACCAGTGAGATTTGATCATGCTTTGCCAACACATGCAACTCAAAATGCTTTACACATCATGAATACCGTGATGCAGGCATGGCAAGAAATGACCAGCACAGGTTACACAGGAAATCAGTGGCAGAGATGGGAGAAGAACTCAGGAGCTTTTACACGGAGTCTACTGTTCTACTCACAAACTCTCCCTGTAGCCATTTGTGCACAGCAGTGGCCACGTCAGTAACATGCAAGAACCTCAGGGGTGTGAAACTCATGGGGCTTCTCAGCTGGTGTGAACTCCACACCACTCCTGACCAGATGAGGTTCATACCTGAGGGACTTACTGCTACAAGTGATTCCTGAGGCCACAAACTGAGAAGGATCCAAAAAAGGCTGAGATGTAGGTAGGAATAACCAGACTATCTGCCAAGCATAAAGAAGGGGCATCCTCCCTCTTGCACCAGCACTGTCTGGGGAGAAACTTTGCTTTTGGGCATGCTACCATCCAGACACACATCCTGCCGTCCTCTCAAAGGGCTGTTTCCAGAACTCCTGTATCCTGACACTGTGAGCCCCTGGACAGGTACTACTTCACTGCAGTGCCCTGCAGGTGCTTCCTGTCCTGTCATGCTTTCCCTGTGACATCCCTCTGCCTGGTCAATGGGGCCTCCAGACACCTTCCAATTCTGAACCCCATGCTGCTGGTTGCAGCAAACCATCCAGACGCCATTCACAGCCTCATCGCTCATCTAGCACACTAGTTATGAATTGATGGCTGCTTTTTTCTCTCCATTCCTCCTCTCAGCTATTCCTTTCCAGCTCCTATGCCCATGGTAGACTTTGCAACAAAGCCCGTTGTGAATCCTGAGGTACGTCACAGACACACTGGATGCCACGGCAGTGGCAAGGTGTTCTGTTCATTCCCATCGCTTCCCCTTCCACACACACGAGTTATGTTGGCCCCAGGGGTCTCCAAATGTCTAAAAGGAAAAACACTTACTGATGAACTTCTGTCACTCCTCCTCCATGCACATGCCTTGGAGCTAACTCTGCTCACTGAGGATGCTTTCCCAGCAGTATCAGGACAAAGGAACGCCCCGTGGGCGGCTTGTTTTAAACAAAGATGTAATCAGCTCGCAGCA